AGGCAGCCTCTTGCCCCGGCAGCAGTGTGTTTGGCTCCTGCCTCCTGCCTTCCAGGGAAGCTCGAGCTGCCCGGAACCGACGGCGAGCATTGCCTGCCCCCGTGGGCGTCAGCTGGAAAGCAGCAACGGGTAATGTCGGAGCGAGCCAAGTGGTACGGGTTGGCTGGGTGGTGTTTCCACCAGGGTTTCCTTGCACTACTGGCAAGGTGCATCCGCACAGTGCTTTGCAGCGCCTGGCCGTGCCCCTGCCTTGCGCCCTCTGCCCTCTCTTGTGAATCCATTTTTCTTCCCACGGCCCTGTCTGCCCGCACCCTGCCAGAGCTGAGCTGCTGCGCGCAGCAGGCTGGTCACCTCTCGGCATCGCGGGAGCGTTGGGCAGTGGGGCGGGAGGGCAGAGTCGCGTCCCGACCAGGTACTGTGTCCCTGGCACCGCTCTGTGCTGAGCGTTCACTGGGAGAGACATCCCCGGGAAGGACTCGGTGAGGCCGGGCTGACCGAGGAATGGGGTGGTGGGTCAGAAGAGGGAGACCCTGCTTGCTGCCGGCGCTCCCAAAGCTCCCAGCCTTTTCCAGCCCAGTAGCAGTACCGAGTCGGGTTTGCGGGGGCTGCTGTCGGTGCCAGTGGCAGGGCCGTGCAGCGGCGCGGCGCTGGAGGAGGGCAGCGTGCTGGAGGCCGGCTCTGGCGCCGCAGGGGAGCAGTGGCGGGGGAAGCAATGCCGGGCAGGGGCTGTGGGGTCTCGCACGTGGGGGCTCTGCTCCCACAGTGCCCAGGGCTCGCACAGCCCCAGCTGCACACCGCGTCGTGCCCCTTCTCTCTCTGTGGCACAGGTCCTTTTTTTAATCTCCTGGTTGGAGCATGGATCAAGGCTCCTTTAACTGTTCCCCAGGGGTCAGTACTGGGTCCAGTCCTGTTCGATATATTCACCAATGAAGGGACAGAGTGTACCATCAGCAAGTTTGCTGATGACACAAAACTGGGAGGAGTGGCTGACACGCCGGAAGGCTGTGACGCCTTACAGCGAGACCTGGACAGGCTGGAGAGTTGGGTGGAGAGGAACCTTATGAAGTTCATCAAGGGCAAGTGTAGGGTACTGCATCTGGGGAGGAATAACCTCATGCACCAGTACAGGCTGGGGGTGACCTGCTGGAGAGCAGCTCTGGGGAAAGGGACCTGGGAGTCCTGGGGGACAACAGGATGCCCATGAGCCAGCAATGTGCCCTGGTGGCCAAGAAGGCCAACGGCATCCTGGGGGGCATCAAGCAGAGTGTGGCCAGCAGGTGGAGGGAGGTCATCCTCCCCCTCTGCTCTGCCCTGGGGAGCCCACATCTGGAGCACTGTGTCCAGTTCGGGGCTCCCCGGGTCAAGAAGGACAGGGAACTGCTGGAGAGGGTCCAGCAAAGGGCTAC